CACCGGCATCGCCAGGCAGCCGGGCCCCGAGCGCGCCCAGAGACCGTGTCACGCACGGCGGACACTCTGGAGCCTCCTGCACCCCAAGCCTGGACACAGGACGCAGGGTCGCCTGCCTCACCCCCAAGCGTTCTCCAAGCCCAGCCGAGGCACCTGTGCGCTGTAACAGTGGCCCCTGCTGTCCTTTAGGGCTCTTAGAGGAGCCGCGTCTAAGAACAAGTCCCGCGCGCGTGTTCTCCGGCGCCTTCTTCCTACACCACCGAGCCTAGGAGGCGCAGCGTGCCCTCCGTCCACCGACCTGTCGGAGCAGTGCCACCCCGCTGCACCTCCGTAAACGCTCCAGCGTTCCCTCCATCACTCAGGCCGGCCGTCACACCAGTCCGCATTGTGCTCTGAAGGGCATCGACGACCACCCCCGCCCACCCGCTGCTGAGCTGCATCACCGCAGGCTCTCCGACCCTCCAAGATCCCTGCTGCACTCCTGTACTCCACGCTCCCTCTGCAGACTCACATTAAGTCGGATGTGATGTCAGGGCTCCTCCAGGGGCCACCTAACAGCTCTTGGGATGACACCTAGGCTTTGGTTCCAACCTGGCCCACCTTTCTGATCACATAATTGTGCTCCATCTGCAGCTTTCGTAATTTTTATTTTTTTTTTGAGACAGGGTCTCGCCATGTAGTTCGGGCTGACCTTGGACTAGAACTCACAGCAATCCTTCGGATTCAGCCTCCTGAGTGCTGGAATTACAGGAATGCGCCACTACACCCAGCTAAACTTTAGTGTTTTAATAGCAAAGGTATGGGGCAGTATCCCATCTTACTAATGAAATGAGAATTAGGTCCAAAATTCTCTGAAACCTGAAATTTTGGAGAACCAGATTTGGAATTTTCAGATTAAAGTTGCTCAACTGGTAAGGTCTATGCAGATATTCCAAAATTCAAAAAAACCTTTGGAAGTTGAAATACTTGTGGTCCCAAAAATTTTAGATGAGGGCTATTGCACCTATACTTGGAAAACTGTACATGTCATACATATACCTATAAGAAAGATAAAAATGACATTGACTATCCTAATGTTATACAAACAAATTCCTATGGTTTACAGTCAAATAGTGACATCACCTAGTGACTCAAAAATGGCACCAGGAGAAGTGAGGAATTTGGCCTCGGAAGAAGCTCTTGATGGGAGGGACACTAATGTTTGAGGTATGAGGGTTGTGAGGGGCAGGTCTGCATACAACAGTCTGAAGGAAGTGGGAAAGAGCAACGCCCTATAAAATTATCAGAGATCCTATTATTTGAACAGCTATATGTAAACTAAAGAAGCAAATGTGTTAGCCAGGCTTGGCAGTGCACACGTGGAATCCTAGCACAAGTTCAAGCCCAGCCTGGGCTGCATAGTCACTTGTGAGACCCCAGGGGTAGTGCTGCCCTACAGATCACTACAGCCAGGCCTAATTTGCCTCCTCCCACGGGTGAGTCAGCTGGTGGAGAACAGGGAAAAGAGGGCGCGGCGGAGCAAGGCCTGGCCGAGAAGAGGCCTGTCCCCCTCTCCACGCGGCCAGATAGCCAGAGAAATGTCCAGCATGTGTCCTGCGGACTTTAGCTCTGTTACAGACTAGCGCCTTTACCTCCCCCTGCACTTCCTCTCTCTCTACCACTGTCTGTACCCCATTTCTGCCAGGTGGGGTGGGCCGTTTGCTTGGTGATCTTTTCCTCTTGTCAGGGTTAGCGCCCCCACCTATACCTCATGTCTCTGTCTTTCTTAATCTCCCACCTTCGTTTCTCACTCCATGAACCCTTCAGCCATGCAGGCAATGGCTCCTCATCTCAAAGTAAAAAATGTAAGAGGCTGGGGATGCAGCTCAGTGTGAAGGCCCTGGGTTCAACCCCCAGTATGTCAAACAAACAAACAACCCCCAAACAAACAAGTAAAGTGAAAGTTTTAAGCAGACATTTAACTCTTTTAGCTATACTCCTAAGTATTGGAGTGGCCCATATTTTCCCTTCTGCTGGCTGTCTTGCTGGGCAGATGCAGTCACCAGCCCAAGCCACCCTCGGTATTGGCACACGAGTGGGTTTCCCTGTTAGCAAAGCTTGGCGGCAGTGGCTCAGGTCACATTATCTGTCTGGCTTCAGTGGGCACTAGGCCAACAGTGGAGGGGTGGGGTGGCCCGCTTGGAGGGCACAGGTGTGCACACGCCCTGGTGTGCACTGGTCAGGTGAGAGGGAGGATGAGAGCCAGCACCCCAGAAGGTGTTGCTGGGTCAGTGTGGTGATGTGTGTGTGTGTGTGTGTGTGTGTGTGTGTGTGCGTGCGCGTGTGTGTGGGTGCCAGAAGGCCTTTCTCAGCCGCTCACCTGGAACACACAAAGCAGTGACAATCCATTTTAATCATTTCTTCCCGTTACAAGCCATCGGGATGGGCCAAGTATTACTGTGTGCAACACTGAGCCTGTAACCACCATTGTCAAAATATACTTTTGTCACCGTAAAAACTGCATTGTGCTGCCTCTGTGTCTGACAGCAGGTATAAAAAAATCACAAATATTTACATTCTTGTTACGCTCCACTATGGACTCAGGATCCAAGGAGATCCCTGGCTGCTGCTGGGCGGCCCAGAGGGTGGTGGAAAGTGCCGTGCGCTGGACGCTGGTCCCAGTGCCTGGGTCCCACCATCAGAGGCAGACAAGCCACAAAAATGAAACTTTGGTCCAAAATTTGAAGAAAAATGAAACCTCAGTAAGAGTGGTGGGGTACACCCAGCCCTTGTAGGGAGGGCAGTGCCCCCTCTGCAGGGGAGGAGGCTGGGAAGAGCTTACCTGAAGCCGGCCGCTTGTCTGTGCCTGCTGTCTATCTGTTCAAACTCCTCAGAGGCCAGCACCATCCCGCTGTCCGTTTGATTATCCTGCAAAGGGAACCAACCAGCGCTGTGGCTGCCAGGAGCCTAATCGCATCCCCAGGGGAACTCAGGGACACCCACCCTGTCACCAGAGCATGTGGGCGGGGTCCGTGTCCCTGCTGTGCGGGACAAGCTTAGCTCCAGGGGAGCCACGCTACTTCGGCAACCTGCATGTGCTCAGGGCACAGGTAAAGCAGGAGCAACTGTGGAGCCCTTGGAAGAATCTGGCAGCTCAGTTCAGTTTTGCTTTTGAAGGAGCACCCTGGAGTTTAGAGGGGCTTTGTTTCCCTTCAAGTGTGGCTTTCATTGTGAATCCCACAGAGGGCAACTGCGATATTCTCAGAGCTAGGGGCCCCAACATCTTCATCTGGCCCATGAGACACAAGCTGGGGTCTGTGCTGAGCAGCCACCCCAGCTGCTTGGGTCAGTGTTCTCTGCCCAGCCAGAGACCCGGACCCAGCTGGCAGTCCCAACACGGCTCCCCCGTGGAGTCGCCAGAGCTCAGGCCTGGGAGTCCTGGTCTCCTCCTTAGCAAAGGACATCCTTGTGCAGCCTCACAAGCTGAGCCCGAGTGTGCTGACCTGCACCGGGGATGCAGGTGTCAGCACTTGGGTGGACACCTGCAGCTGTCCTGCTCCCCACAGCCCATCTCCTGTCCCACTGACAGGCCAATACCGCTGGAACTGTGGGGTGGAGGCTCTTTCCACCAGCGCTTCTACGCTGCCGGGCGAGGGCCTGGGCCTGCTGGGGAGAGGGGCCTGTGTGACAGTCATGGGGGGCATCGCGCCAGCGCCGAGACCCTGAATGCCTGGAGGTGCTCCCTGACCTTGCCATTTTCAACAGACTTCACCAAGGAGATGCTGGGCACCCAGCTCACTTCCTTCCTCCCTTCACCCTTTTCTCCTTTCTTTCTTTTTCTAGGGCTAGGGATCGAAGCCAGGCCCTTCATGCTCAGCCCTTCCTCAGCCCTTTTTATTTTTACTTTTCTGAGTCCACACCAATCACAGTAAGATATGCAGGTGGGTGACTGGGTGAAGCACACACAGTGGAGCTTTATCCACACAGAAGGAAAGAGATCCTGGTATCTGTAGCCTTCTGGATGGGACTGGAAGTGACAGGAGCAAGACACAGCAAGGCGAGCACCGAGGGGCTCTCTTGCAGGTGCAGCTAAAGCACGATGCCCTGAAAGGACAGCAGGGGTCACTAGAGGTTGGGGTGAGTTGGGAGGGTGGTGAAGGAAGGCTGGATTCGGTCAGGCCACGGCTGTATGCATGCGTTGAAATATCACACCACACTCCATGAATGATTTATGCACAATTTATACACATTTGTCAAAGATAAAATAAGTGTATTTAGAAAGGCTTAGTTGATTCCCGTCACTTGCCTCAGGACCTCGATGCCTGCCTCCCCAGGGTACCCCACCCACCTGTCCTTACCACAGGGGCTTTGTAGGTTGTTGGGGTCATTGGGAATTCTTCAAATGTCTTCATCCTAGAGGGACCCTGGGTCTGAGTCCCCCTGGCCAGGCATCCAGGAAAGGACACACAGTTGTAGTATCTGCGGGGAGAAACAGTCGGTGCTTAGAGAAGCGCAGCACAGCCCCTTCCGAGGCCGCTCCCATCTGTCGGTCCGCTTCAGGAGGGCCCTGCTGCAGGGGCAGAGGACAGAGGGGCCTGGCTCAAGCCCAGTACACAGCCCCCGGGGGGCTCCCGACATGCACCCTCCCTCTCTGGAGCGGTACCCCATCCTGCACAAGAGGGGGCTCCACCAGGAGGGGAGCAAGGCCACCCCCCGCCAGTGTGGTTTGGAGCTGGTGTGTGGTGGTGCGGCCTTCTTTCTGGGGCTGCCACAGGCTGGCGGGCCCATGCGTGTGCGTGGCTGCTGGTCTGCCTGCACCTGTGCTGGGGTTGGCCGGAGAGGCTGGGAAGCACCGGCTCACTGTTCTTTTCCCCAGGCCTGGTGCAGAGGGGCAGGGTTTTCACCCTTGCATTTTCTCCCAGCTGAAGAATAGATAGTACAACCTCTCAGGGGTGTACGCTGATGAGGGCAAGAGACCTCAAGACCGAATTGGTGAGCATAGCTAAGCTCTCGCTCCCGAAGGCTTCTGCTCCCAGCCCGATGGTGGCTCCTGGGATTTGCTCAGGGGCTAAATCAGGCACTGGGAAGCATCCTGGCCCAAATCTGGGCCACTCATTGTCTCCCTCTAAAAGCCCAAACAGGCATTCTTTTGAAACTGAGCTAGGCAGTTCTTGGGGGCCAAGAGTATAAGGAACTGAAGGGTGCTGTGGCCTACACATGGCTGAGCGTGCCCCGAGGTTCTGTGCAGGAAGCTCTGTCTCCGGGGTGGCGATGTTGAGGGGACCTCTCAGGGCTGAGGTCACCATGCACGTAGTGTATGGTGACTAAGTCATGCGAGCTCCCCGCCTGGAATGGATTAATGTCGCTCTCTCGGGACTCAGTGTCTTCTCAAGGGAGCGGGCTACAAAGTGGACCATCCAGGCCCCCAAACCTCTGGTCTCCTGTCCTACATATGCACAGGCTCCTGCTGTTGTGATGCCAGCTGCATGAGACTGCAGGCCATACTCTGAGTGTCCAGGGCCGTGAGCTAGGTGACTCTCTTCTTTCTAAGGTGCCAGCCTCTGGTATTTTGTCATAGCAGTGGAAAATGGACTGGAACACTTGTGCTCAGCACGGGGACCAAGGAGGCTGTGAGGAAAGCACAGCTGTGAGGCCAGGTGGTCTTGGGGAAGCCCCACAGCTGGCGGGGCCCATGTGGCTAGGGCATCGGTGCCCAGTGCTACGTCTCAATCACTTTGGTATCCAGGCGTCTCTCAAGTTGCTGTCATATTTTTTTCCCTCGATGACTGAGGATAAAAGAGCTGCCTCCAAACAGATGCCCACTGGCACCCCGTGCCTAATACAGGGAGGGTGGCTGACCTGGCAGCCAGGCTGTGGCGCTGTGAGCTTGATGGGCTGCCCTTGGCTTCTGCCTCGGCAACGTGCAGGGCCGTGGTGGACGCCTGCAGGAAGCTGCCATCTTCTGAGCTCTGAGAGTCACACTGGGCCATGCAATCCTCGTCTTCCTCCTGGCGGGAATGGGAGAGATGCCTGGGGCCCGAGGCCGCCCTATGTCCTGCCCCTCAGCCCCTGCCCCTGCGCACAGGATCGATCGAGTCCTGACTCTGGAACGGGGTCAGGCTGAGCTGTGTGAGCCTGTGCTTCGGGTGGGCCGGCCTCGTCCCACTCTCCCAGCAGCTCTGCTGCCTGGGTCCCATCTTCAGACGGGAGGATGGGTGGGCCTCGCCCGTAGCGCATCCCCTCATCTGTCCTCTTGGATGCCCTTGCAGCCCTGGGACCGGTTAGAGGCAGGTCCCTTTCTCCCTGGGGGAACTGGTCCCACACTCCCCTCCCCATCCCTGAGGCTTGGGTGCAGGTCGCCTCCTGGGTACAGAGGACCACTGGGGAGGGAGGTGCTGGACTCTCCGGTCCGGGGCCAGTGTACCCCGTGGGTGGGAGGAGGGGAAGAAATCCACTGCTACGCTGGGGAGATGGGTTACCCTGCGGTCCCGGGAGGACCAGCCTGGGGTGTCCTGAGGAGTGAGGGTGATCGCTAGGGCAGCTGCCTCTGCCACGTCCACAGAAATGTGTCAGCATGTGTGTGCAGCCGTGGGGCAGGGGCAGAGGGAGGGAGGGGGCTGGGCCCAGACACACACGGCCTTGCCCGGTACTTGAGAGGCGAGTGGGATTTGGGCACAGCCAGGCAGGCCCCAGGGGAGGGCAGAGCTGGGGCTCACCTGCTGGCCCCCTCCCTGGAGCAGGTCGCCCAGGATCTCCACCAGCTCTGAGAAAGCAGGTCTTGCCTTGGGGTCTCCAGACCAACAGTTCAGCATGACACGGCGTCTGTGGGGAAGCTGGCTGCTGGCCCACGCTTGCTCCGGTGCGCCCTGGCCCTCCCACCAGCCGGCCCCACCCTCCTGCCTCCCTGGCTCCCTGCAGTGAGTTGGATGTGTCCTAAGTGTGATCCTCCAAGGTTCCTGTGCTTGGAGGCTGGTCCCAGTATGGTGGGGGCCTCAGAGCTGGAGCCTGGCCTGGGTAACTGGGTCCTGCATGGACTGAGTGGGTCCTGCTGAGAGCAGGCTTTTACGGAGCTGTCCCTCCGTCTCGCCGTGTGATCGCTTCCTCTGTCACACACCCACCGTGGTGCCCTCTGCCATACTGTGATGTCACCAAAGGCCCGCTCCAGAGCCAGGCAGGTGCTGGTGCCACGCTCTTGGACCTGTAAAACTATGCTGAGTAAACACTAAAACTGTGAAGAGAAAACCTCTTCTCTTTATACAGTGCCCAGTTGTAGGTGCTGAGCTCGTCCCTCATGCACTGCCCCCCCCCAGGTATGGCACAACCTGCCTTCCATCTACTGCTGTTCTCTCACTGCCTCTTTCTGTGTCACCTCTATGCCTACTCCTGGGGGCGCTGTCCCTGGGGACTCTGATTCTGGCTCCTGTCGGATGTTCTCAGGGCTCCAGAGACTCGCTGTCCATGTTAGGGTTCTGCGGATATTGCTGTGCGTCCACAGGCAGAGGCCAGGCCTCCAGGGTTCAGCATGCAGCGGGGGGGGGGGCTTGCCTCTGTCCACCACCTGGGCTTGAATAGCTCTTCTCGTGGCCGCACAGCCCTGTCCGTGTGCCTGTCCCCTGGTCCCCCAGCACCTGTGCACCACCAGGAGACTCACATGGCGGGAGTGGCCAGTTCTGGGGCTCTCATCCGGGTGCCATCTTTCAGCCGCTGGCAAAACTCCTCATTGATCTGCACCCCTGGGTATGGGGAGGCCCCTGCCGCAGGAGGGAGTGCCGTGGGTGAAACGGCCTCCCGACCGCTCTTGTCCTGTGCCCTCCTCCCTTCCTCTTCTTCCCCACAGCAGAGTAAGGACGGGGTTTACCTTCTGCCCCCGGGGCCTGTGCAGGGTGTGCCCTCTCCCTTCTGCAGTTAAATCATGCTTACCTGGATCCTTACCTGATTTCACTGCACAGAACTAAGCCTTCTAAACAAAGTCTCTCCTTCCTCCCACTGCAGGACGCCTACCCTGGCCGCACTCTGCCCACTTCCTTCATTGGACGGTGGTCCTTCCAGACCCCCCTGCTTCCTCTACCACTCCCTTTCTTTTTTCCTGGGGTGCTGAGGCTCAAGCCCAGGGATCCTGTGTGCTAAGCACATCCTCTCCTGCTCAGCTGCACTCCAAGCTCCGAGCCCCTCTGGCTTGCAAACAGCTCCTAGACTCTTTCTGTGTTTTTGTGCTCACTAACAGCATTCACTATCATTGCCATTTTGCGAAACTGTACTCTCACTGCCTCCTCCATCCTAGCCTGGACTCCTGACTGTCATGTTCCCTTCCGTGTGCCTCTTGCATAAGCAGGTGTCTACCCTGAACAGACCCATGGTTGGGGGGGCGGCTGCAAGGACCCAGGCTCGAGGTGGTGCACTGTCCCATGACAAACCCTCTGCCTCAGCACGGCCAAGGCTGCTTGCTCCAGGTGCCCAGCCTTAGCTGCAGAAGGGCTGACACACATGCAGGAGCAGGGAACTTTGGCCTGCACTCACCCAGGGAGAAGATCTCCCAGAGCAGCACCCCAAAGGACCAGACGTCGCTCTGTGTGGTATACACCTTGTCAAAGATGCTCTCAGGGGCCATCCACTTCAGCGGCAGCCGGGCCTGGGAAGGCAGGGTGTGGGTTCCATTGGCAGGGAAGAGAAGGCTGGGCGCTGGCTCTGTCATGACCCTTCCTTCTGAATTGAAGCTTCTTCCCTGAAGCTGTTCTGTGTCTGTCCAGTTCCCCTCCGTCCCCTGAGCTGTCCTGGGGGTGCTTCTTGCACGGCCTAGCCCCCTGAGGTAAGGTGTCCCTGTACCCCCTCTCCACCTCCACCCACCACATCTTCCACACGGGGGCTCTGGACGCTTCTTTCCTCTCGTCTGTCTCCCTCTCATGACTTCTACCCAGACGCTGTGAGGGACACAGCCTCCGAGACTGGCCTCTGCCCCAGTCCACGTCCTGGTCTCCTTTCCTTCCAGCTTACATAGGGGCTTCTCTAAGTGCACACCTGATCCTCACCTCCACCTGCAAGGTGGAAAGAGGGTCAAGCCTTCCACAGAGGCTATGCTGGGCAGGGTGGCAACCGTACAGCCTGTGGACCCTTCAGGCCTCTTCCTCCCCCTTGCTGGCACAATCCCATCAGCCACAGATGCCCAAGCAGGCACTGTCCCTGAGCATTAGCTGTGGGCACAGATACGTGCGTCTGCACACCCAAGCCTGACATAGCAAGCACAAGGTGTCTGTGTCCACACAAGGGACAGGCCCTGGGCATTGTCTTCCCCATGCTGCCTCAGTAGGTAAGGTCTCTAGGGTGCCCCAAGGGCTCTGCAGAGGGGCAGCAAGATGCCCAGCAGCTGGGCAGCTGAGCTGGCAGACCGAGCCTGAGCCAGCACCACCCCTCCTACTCCTGGCTAGGAAGTCTGTGGTGTCACCTCCCCATTCACCCAGCAACCTCATCATGTCCCCGCTCCTGGTGGCCTGCACTCACGCTGCCCTTGCGGACATAGTCAGGGTCTTTGTAGATGTCTCGGGCAAGGCCAAAGTCGCAAATCTTCACTACATCGCTTTCTGACAGCAAGATGTTCCGAGCAGCCAGGTCTCTGTGGATGCACTGGGGGCAGGAAGGTAGTGGTGCGTTCAGCCCAGGCCCAGTAACACTCATGCTTGAGCTCCGGGGTGCCCCACAGAAGGCTGTGTCCTCTTCTGCTGCTGCTGGGAGATTTGTTTGTCCCCAGTAGAGAAACTTCAGGAGGCAGCCACACAGGTCCCACATCTGGTTTGCCACTGACTAGCCAGGAAGCCCCAGGAAAGGAACTCCCAGCTCTGGGCTCAGCTTCCTCCTCTCCAACATGGGAGCCATGCTGATTGATCCCCAGGCTCTTGTGGGGTGAAGACAGAACTGAGCAAGCCCATGAGTGCGGGGCCCCTTTAATGGAGCTGTGGGGTTTGGGGGCCCACCTTGCGGGAGGCCAGGAACTCCATCCCCCTGGCCACCTGGAAGCTGTAGCAGACGAGGTCTTCCATGGTCAGTGGGCTCAGCCACAGGTCCTCGGCTACACAAAGGAGGGCATGGACTTAAGAGGAGTGTCCTTCTGACTGAGCGCCTCTCCTGTCCCTGTCTCTTGGCCTCCGCTCTCCCTAGGACACTCACTACTCCTAGAGCAGTAGACTTCGGCCCCACAAGGCTGTTCCCTCACCTCATCTGCAGGCAAACTCTTATTCATCCTGATACCCACGTCAAATGTCAGACATCTCTGAAAACTCCCCGATGTCCTTCCTAAAGTAACGCCCGTTATGTTCCTCACCGAAGCCCCTCCCTGAGGCTGATACCAGGGTGCTGATCCCGAGGTGTCATCTACAGCCCCTCTTACCTTCTCCGACCGGAGGAGCCCGCCCCACCCCTCCCTTGCCCATCAGGAGCCGGGTGAGCAGGGCCTGGTCGTTGTTTGCCGGCCTCCTCGGATCAGCCTCGGAGCCCTCCACCATGGCGCGGAAACGCCTGCGCTGCTCGGGGGATTTCTCCTGCAGAGAGGCGCGGAGTGGGTCCTAGGGCCGAGCTCCACAGCAGGGGCGCCCGCGCCAGCCCAGCAGAAGCGCCGCCTACCGCATAGGGACTGAAGGCCTCGCGCTTGACGCGCAGAAAGTTGGAGAGGTTGCCGTATTTGCAGTACTCCACGATCACCATGAGGGGGCCTGGGGTGGGCAGAGCCGGCGCGGGAGGTGAAAAGCGCGGCCCGGCCCACAGCCTTTCGTCCCCACCGCGTGGGCTCCCCGGGGCCTCCGTTAGTACCCGTGGGCTTGGTGCACGCGCCCAGCAGGTTGACCACGTTGAGGTGGTGACCGATGTGGATCAGGATCTTGAGCTCGGACATCAGCGCGCGGTGCTCGCTGGCCGTGGCGCCCTCTGGGGGAACACAGAGGCCTAGCGCGGGCCCGGCCTGCGCGACTCCTCTCCCTCCTGCCCGCACATCCCGCTGGTCCCACTAAGGCAGGGGCGCAGGCAGAAGCCTGTGTCTGATTTCCACCGTCTCCCTGTGGGCTCCTGGGAACACGCTAGTTCTGGGCCTCAGCTTCCCTTCCCGTACGCAGTCCCGCCCTCCTCACCCCGAGACCCCGCACCTTTCAACATTTTCACAGCCACGGTGTCACAGCCGCTGCCTTTGTTGATGCCGAAGGCGGAGGCTTCCACCACCTTCCCGAAGGCCCCGTGGCCGAGGACTCGCCCTGTGGGCGGGAGGTCCGCTCTAGCAGAGCTGCGCAGCGGGGAGGACGGGCGGGGAGGAAGGGCGAGCGGGAGTCGGGAGCCTCTGCTGCAAGCAGGAAGGGCGCGGGAGCTCGGGAGAGGGCAGGGAGGCGCACATCCTCTCCACAGGTGCGCAGGTCACCCTGCTCGGAGCGGGAGCGAAGGAAATGGCCCGGGGCCTGGGAGCGCAGCGCCCTGGCGGGGGTCTGCGGACGCTGGCCAGATGCAGCCCGCCGCCCGGGGGGATGGGAATATTCCGGGGAGTTCTGAGAACTGAGGGCTTTCCGTGCACAGGCTGCAGGCTCACCCAGGTGCAGTCGCTCCCGCGGGAACTCCCACTGGCTGGCGTCGTAGGACACGTACTCGCCCTGCTCGTCCAGGGGCACCTCCCCGGGCTCCATGATGATGGACAGGTAGCCCGTCTTGATGTCCGCGTGAGCCGGCTGGGCGGGTGGGAACGGGTCACTGCTGTGGCCCTGCCACAGGGGCAGAGGTGACATTGCCCGTAACAGGTGACCCTTGCTTCGGAGCACTTGGCCAAGGAAGGGACAAGCAGAGAGAACACTGGCATGCGTGCTGGAGCCCAGCGTGGAAGGAGGGGGAGGCTGAGACAGGAAAACCAGGGTGGGAACCTTGCTCTGAGACCCTGTAGATGGGCTCAGCAGGGGGAGGCGCACTCACCCTCCTCATGTTGCAGAAGATGAGCAGGAGGAGGACCCAGAAGAAGACAGCGATGACCCCGGTGCCGACGAGGACCACGATCTCCATGCTGCCTTTATCCTCGGAGCCTGAGGGGGCAAAAGTGTGTGTGCTTGTGATGCGCGCACGTGTGAGGCCGTGCCCCGCGGGAAGTGCCCCTCGTGGTGCATGGCTCACGCGGGGTGGCCACGAGAGGGTGCCCGGTGGGGGTGGGCTGACCTTCCACCGCCACGCTGGCCGAGGAGTTGACGCAACCTTTGGCGTTGCACACACTGCACAGATAGCGGCCGGCGTCCTCCTCGCGGACGCGCTGGATGCTCAGCTTCTGGTTAGAGTCCGCCAAGTCGATTCCTGCCGGGGTGGGGTGGGGGCACCAGTGCAGGTGACTGGGGTGGGGCTGGCCTCCCAGGCCTCCCGCCCACCGCCCCCGGGTCGCTCCCTACCAGACTCTTCCTCCAGCAGCTTTTCGTCTTTGTACCACACGATGCTGGGCACGTGCGCTCCAGCCACTGGGCAACGCATCTCCAGGGAGTCACTCACGTTCACCAGGAGGTCGCTCAAGTTCTGCATGAGCCTGGGGGCTTCCAGGGCTGGGGGTGGTGTTGAGGAGGTGAAGTGGCTCCACAGAAGCAAGAGGTCACCCCAGGACACGACACGCAAGGCTGGGAGGGGAGGCTGGGGTGCCCGGTTCCGGGTTGCAGGACGCAGTGCTTGCAGCGCGTGAGCAGGGGGCGCCCGTCGCTCGCTCGCTCGCCCCGCAGGCCCTCCCGCTGCCTGCTACGCTCACCCTGCACCGACAGGTACTTCTTGTGGCAGTGCTTGTCCTGGTTGTGCCGGTCCTGCACCTCGCACACATAGTCGCCCTCGTGCTCGGGCGCCACTCGCGGGATGCTCAGGCTGAGTGTGGCGTGGCGCGCTCCCGGCTCAGTCTCCTCTAGGCTGGCGGCCAGCGGTGTGGCGTACAGGTGAACATTCTTGCAGTCGAGCAGCAGCGGGTTTCCATGAACATCATGCAGCGTGGACAGGTTGAGGCGATACCAGCGTAGTTGCTCATATGTGTAGTTGTCAGCTCGGCAGCTGAGTCGCACGGACTGGCCCTCCAGGGGGTCCTCGGAGGGCTCCACCTCGATACTGAAGCCGTCTGGGATGGCTGGGGAGTGAGGAAGCCCTGTGACACTGCTCAAGGTTTGTTTTCGGTCCACGGGCCCCTCCCCGTTGCCCTTGAACTCATTCAGTTCTGAACCATGGCTGTGCACCCCATAGCCCATGCCTCCGCCTGGAGAAGTCATACTTCTGGGTCTCCTCCTGCCTCCCTACTTGCTCTGTCCTTCTTGGACAGGGAGCCCAGATCATGCAGCTCCTTGTCCCCAGGCCCAGCGGGGACCAATGTCCTCACACTCTCTTTCCTCTGACTACAGCCCACCACTCTCCTCTCCCGTGAGAACAGCTTCTTCAGTAGCTTTTGCCAGGGCCATCCTCTCTTCTGCTTCTACTTCCTGTTGGGCTCCTGTGGGCTCTGCCCTGTCCTAGGTGTTCCCTCGGGCTCCAACTCTGGAGGTGCCTCATCTCCAGCCTGAGCCCAGCGGGTGCTCATTCCTGGGCTTCTTAGCTCTTCTGAGTCACCCATACATGTGAAATCTGAGTAAACCATGGAATTCTTTCCAGGGCAAAATGCACAGTGAACCACACTGCTCCAGAGTTTGAGAAGGGGCAGGAGGAAGGCTGAGCTAGGAGGAGCTACAGGGCACTTCTCCAGGGCTGAGGGCAGAGGTGCCATCGCAGCGTACCAGCACCCATGCCATGTGCTGACATGGGTGCTAGGTGTCTCTCCTGGGTGCCCCATGGCCAGCAGAAACTCAGTGAGCCCAGCCTGGCTCCCGGCCCTGCACCAGGCCTGCCTGGGGAAAGTGGCCCTCCTTGGTGTGATCTGGCCACTCACTGGTCACATAGAAGTAGATGAGCCGCTCGTCCTGGCCCACCTTGTTGAAGACCACACACTTGTACATGGCAGACACGTTGGCATCCTGGATCACCAGCTTGCTCACCGTCTGCACAGGGCACAGGCACAAATGTTCATTTCCAGCCTCGGTTCTCCCGAGCTGGACCCTCCCCTTCTGGAAGGAGTCCCCTGTGCCCACCAGTAATGGGGAAACAGGCTTTGGGCTGGCAGTGATCAGAGCCCAGAGACAGGACCAGGGTAGTGAGGCAGGGAAGAGGAGGAGAGGTCTTTACACAGCAGAGGGGCAGCTGCCAAGAAAAGCCAAGAGACACTGTATGGGCATCTGGCCTAGGCTGTGCTGAGGTCAGACGACAGTGTTGGCTGGACCAGAGCGAATTCTGCAGCTGGATTCAGATGGTCAAGGGGCCAGGAGCCAGCTTGGTAGCTGGGGGAGTCCTAGCAAGGGTTAAAAGCAAGGACCAGCTACTTGAGCTGAGACAAGGCTGTGTGTAGCTGATCACTACGTGCTCACATCAGCCCCAGGGCACGGTGCAGCTCTCTCATCCAGGACAGTCTGAGGGGAGGGGGTTCCTAGGCTTCCACAAAGATTTTGGCTTTGGAGCAGGAAAATTGAGAAGTAGGGGAGGAGAGAGGGCCACAGGCCCTGCCTACCATCGAAAGACCCCCACCCCCACCATAAGCCGGGCACTTCCTGGCCAGGCCTGAAACAGGAAGGGGCTCTGGAGGTGTGTAGGAAAACAGGAAGTGACCATAGGAAGTGGGTGCCTTTGTTCAGTCCCCTTCCCCCTCCTGGCCTTTTCTCAGCATTACCCCCAGATTGGTCCAGTGGCTCAGCAGCCTTCTGTGAAAACCCAATCAGCCCCCACCCCCATCCTTCCACCCTGGGACCCAGGGCTCGACCAGCAGGCACTGGACCTCAATTTCCTTGTCTGAGGAGCAGCAAGAGGCCTGGCCCCCATCCACATACAGGGAAGCTGAGTCCCAGATCCTGTAGAAGGTCACCCAGCTCCCAGCTGCTGCACCCAAAGCTTTGCAGGCCAGATGGGAACAGAAGGCAGAGACAGCTCTCCACCTCCTCCTTCTCCCCTGGCTGTCTAGTGGCTTGGTCAGTCTGTACCTTGTTCTTTCCCTCCACAAATTCTGTCCAGGTGTCCAGGCTCTCGATAGGGTTCACAGCATCCTGCACGGTTACCTCCCTCCAGTCCTGGCACTGTGGCATCCCATCTTGCTGCTGCCGGCGTCGTCGGCTGCCGCAGCCCGGGAAGGGTAAGGGCAGATCAGGGATATGGCCAGGCTGGGCCCACATGGGACACAGTGGTCAAATCTTCGCCATCCTCAGATCATCTCCAGTGCCTCTGAGATCACTGCTGACCTTGCTGCCCTCTCCTACCTCTTATATGCCTGTTATCTCTGCCCTTTGTGGTTTCCTTGCCTCCCTGTCCTGTTGATGTTCAGCTCAGTGTGGGATGGCACAGCCTGCAGTTGGACAAGCTTTGTTGCTTACTGTTAAGACCTTGAGAACTGTGTCTCCCTTCTCTGACCCTGTTTTTTCATTTTTAAGGGGGAAACTTTGAGCTGTACTGATGTGCGAAGGTGTTTGAGTAAATGTGCCTGGTGTGTCCTGGGACTGGGCACAAGGCTTCTAACCCTACCCCAGGGCTGCCCACTTAGTGGTAGGGGCCCAGAGGTGCCTTTCTGGTCTTCCCTGGGTGGTATAGTTATGAGCTTAGAGGGTCTAACCTTCAAGGAAAGAGTGTGGGGCTAGCCTAGCCAGCTTGCTCAGCCTGATCTGCTGGCACAGGACTGATATAAGGAGGAGTTGGAGCTTTGCTCAGGCCCGGTAAGGCCAGGAATTGGTGATGGCTGAACTGGGGAATTAATGTGGTTAAAATGTCCATACTTCAAAGCCATCCACAGATTCCATGCAGTCCCTATCAAAATGCCAGTGACATTCTTAACAGTAATAGCAAAATAGTCTTACAGTTTATACAGAATCACAAAATACCCTATCAGAGAAATTATGATTAAAAGGAAGCTGGAACATCACACGACCTGACTTCAAAACATACCACAAACTACAGTAACCAAAGCAGCGTGGTAGTGGTGCCAAAGCAGATGCATAGACCAACTGAACAAGACAGAGTTCAGAAATAAATGCACACATTTATAGATAAATGGCAATAAAAGTGCTGAGAAGACACATCGGGGAAATATGAGGTGGTGAGAAAAATGTGTATCTACACACAGAAGAATGGAAGTAGACTGACCCCTCTCCCCAGTTACAAGTCAGCTCCAAAGACGTTAGGCTGAAGTGGAAGCCTTAGAAGAAAACAGGGAAAATGCTTCATGACATTGGTATGAGCAAGGATTTTGTGAAAGGTAGGGCTTGAGTTTCAAACAGGGCTCCCAGGAAGGGCATGGTCAGCCAGAGGGGCTCGGATAGGGGTTCACTGTGGTTGAGGTCGAGGGCAGGGCTACGAAATAAGGAACAAGGCTAATGTCACACTTACAGGCTGTGCTGGGCAAACGTCTTGCAGGGAGTCCAGGGTCGCCAGTGCCACTGGACACTAAGAGGTGGGGGCACCCCGTAGGCTGTGCAGGTGAGGGCCTGGCGGCTATGGCGGGAGTAGGTGCTGGGGGAGGAGGCCTCCTTCTCGTGGATGTGGGGGGGCACTGAGGGCACAGGCACACCACCGGTCAGCCAGAGCTGATCGCTGCACAGGCCCGCCTGCTTGGCCTCCCCTCTCACCCCACTGCCCATACCATTTACCACCAGCTCCAGGCTGATGTTGCGTCGAAGGCTGGCCGCGGAGTTCCACAAGGTGAGGGTGTAGATGCCCGCGCTGGCCTCAGTCACCTCTTTGAGCACCAGGGCATGTGGGCTGTGGCGTCCCATCACTGCCTTTCTGTCCTTGTACCTGGCCCAAGAAGGGAGTTCAGGGACTGCGTGGTTCCATCCCTCCAGCAGAAAGGCTCCAGGATCTCTTGCATGTGGAAGTCCCTCCTGTGCCATGGTGTAGTGTGTACATGCAACCTGTGCATACCCTCCACAGACTTCAGGTCATCTCTAGACGACCAATGCCCACAGCGATGCAAGTGCTGTGTAAGTTACTGTTATGCTAAAGCGTCAGGGAAATGTACAAAGCAATCTGTACACGGTTGGTATAAGGATAATTTTTTCAGGTATTTTCTGTCTGGTCACTTGAACCCACAGATGTAGAACAAAAATGTGGAAGGCCACATGTACTGCTGGAGAGCGCGGGGAGAGGACGCCAAGGTGTCTGGCCTTGGATGAGGCTGGAGCAAGTGAGCCCTTCTGGAGGGTCCCAGAAGGGCCAGCAGGCTCTGGTCTGGTCTGGCCAAAGGCTCTAGAGAGGGTCTGCAGGCCCCATCTGCCAAGTGTCACAGTCCTGTCAGGCTGCTTGCTCAGGATGTCCCCGAGGCCTACAGCAGTACACCCCAGACCCACCAAGACCGTCCCCTGGGCAACAAGGCTGTGTTCCCCTGCAGCCAGACCCACCAGCCCAGCCCAGGTGGGTTCTGTCCCCCTTTCCCTGCTCTCCCCTGGCTGGCTCCTCAACATCAGCTGGGCTTTGGCATGGGGAGGGCACCTGCTGCCCTCAGTGGGCCCCACCTCTTCCCACAGGCTGCACAGAGTGAAGACAGGAGCACAGTCCAGCTCCCTACCGTGCCAGGAGGCCCTGCCTGTCTCTTGGATGCCCAGCTCTGTCTCTCCTTGCGCCCTCTGGACATGTGGCTCCCTAGGACCTCTGCACTTCCCGCAGCCCTTGCGCAGATGCTCTTTCCTGCAGCTGGCAGCTGGCGGGGCCTCTCCCTCCTTTGTTGGGCTGGAGCATACAGCTCATCCTAGAAGCCTTTCTCACTCAGCCCGATAACAGGGCCCTGGCTGTCTATTCTGCCTGCTCTCCTGTTCACTAGCACACTGGATTTTAGGCATGTGATGATTGTCTGTCCTGCCACGGGGCTGTGAGCTGTGTGACCTACGTGAGGAGCAGGACCTGACCCCTGCAGATGCTTCCCAGACTTGCTGTGTGTAGAGATGGATGCCTCGTTCCAGCGTGGCTCCTCCCTAGACCTGAACTGGAATCTCCAAGGGCGTGGAACCTGCGCTCTAGTCTCTGGCAGCTGTCTCCAGGTGCTGGGTGTGCTAAGCCAGAGAAACGGCAGTGTAGTCTAGGGGAGGGATGTTTCCTGGGCAGAAACCTGCTCTCTGCTGTGACAGCAGTCAGGGCTCAGAGAGGGATGAGACTCGCTTGGGTCACAGAGAAGGGCAGGGACAGAGCCAAGGGTGTGCTGTCTGCCTGACTCTGGTGCAGAGGGCCGGGAAGGACACAGTGCTTGCTCCTCTCAGGAGGCCTGGGGTGCAGGTATGAATGTCCAGTCCCTGTTCCACCCTGGTTTTTCATCTGCACAATAGGGGCGCAGGCCAGCACAGCCTGTGATGGCCACAAGGATGGCTCAAGGCTGAGGGAGCGCCTGGGGAGGCCCAGGTGCATTGAGCATGCAGGTGCGGCAGCAGGCAGGGCTCAGCAGTGCAGCGGGCAAGCAGACGAAGCCCACACGACACCCACCACACCCCGTTTAAACCTCTCCCAGACCCACCTTCCTTCCGGCTGAAACACTGAATTATGCATATGCTCTTAGGGGCTCTCCCTAGAGAGATTCCTGTCTGGGTGACAGGACGAAGGCTCTGCTGGGCAAGGACACTGCCCCTTGGTCCTTCTTGCCCCTCGGTTCATTCTCATCTGGGAGTACTGGGGTAGCACGGGGAGGGGCCTAAACTGTTACCATTGGAATTCCGGTGGGGGGTAGGCTGCCAGCTTCACAGGCAGTTTCACCAGCTCGTCGCCTGCTGTGGCTTCCAGGACTGGTCCTTTGAGCCAGTCGACACTGATGAAGGGCTTTTCTGCCAGACAGGAGGCATCAGTATAAATCTGGGAGTGGCCCATCTCTGACCGGGGTCCCCTGCTGTGGCCCTTGCAGCCCCGAAGCCAGCTACCCACAGCTTGGGGCTCACCGAGCCCTAGCATGGTGAGCTGGGCAGGGCTTCCTCTCACGCTCCCGTCCCTCTGGCTGGGCTCCCTGCTGAGCAGGTGCGCTGTGACCGCTGAGCCACACTGCACAAGGACTGCCGTCCTCCAGGAGCCACCCGTGGACATGCTGGTGCTCATACCATGCACGATGACCTCGGTGCTCTCCCGGAACTTCTGGATGCCGTTGTCAGCCTCACACACGTACCGGCCCAGGTCGTGCTGGCTGACGTTGTAGATGGTCAGGATGCTGGAGAGCTCTGTGTGAGTCTGCTGGGAGCGCCGCTCGGGTACCCACTTACCCCGCTCTGCCTGCCCACGCCCGGGGAAGCCCAGGGTCAGCAGGCGGCTCTGGCAGTGCTAACCCACAAAGGCACACGCCCTGCCCAGCTGGCCCCAGCCGGCGGTAGCTCTGCAAGCCTACAGTTTTCTGTGGGGTGGAAAACTCCCTGGAGACTGGGGTTCCTGGGGCCAGCTGGGCCTGCATCTCCTGTACAGAGGCCCAGTGTGTGCTGGGCAGAGGTGATGGGGACTCCCAGGGACAGCGGTGGGCAGAAGCACGGCAAGTGGCAGGGCAGCAGACCTCACCTGCTTCCCCGGATAGTCCCAGTCGAAGGTGACACCCGAGTTGAACTCAGCCCACACCGTGCAGTTCAGGACTAGCCTCTCTCCAACCAGCAGCTCCAGGGACTTCTTGGGGAACAGCTGGATGTCGTAGAGCTCATTGCCTGGTGACGCACACACAGTGACGCCCGTGCCCCTCACATGACGTGCACAGGGCCACCCACCCCACAAGAGCCCAGAGCACAGCGTGCTCCCGAGAGGCCCAGTCCTGGGAATGCGGAGGGACCCTTCTCTTCCAGAGGACCCGGTCAGCCCCTACCTGTGATGTGCACGAGGAAGGGGCTGGAGTAAAAGTCCTGGCCGCCCCAGCTGGCCTGGCACTGCAGGTACAACGCGTCTCGCAGGAGTGCCGTGGGCACCTGCATGCCCCGGCGGTCGTCCCACACCACCTCGCGCCCGTCAGGCCGCAGCACGGAGCTTTGCTGGAGTGACGTGGCGCTGGTCAGAACCTGGCTGCCTTTCCCAGCCAGGTGGAAACTGAGGGAACCTCCAGGTGCCCCCTTGGGACGGAGGAGCAGGGATGGGGCAGGAGGGGATATCTGGGGGTGGGGACGGTACCGAGTGCAGTGTGACGTTGAGGCCAGGGACGGACACCAGGCAGGGCACCCACGTGAAGTCCTTCCTGTTAATCAGGAGCGTGTCAGCTTTGTTGATGAATGGCTGCTCGAGGTCTGAGGAGAGGGAGTCGGAGCTGAGGGAGGCGAAGGCTCAGGGGTCCCCGACTAGGGTTGGGGTCAGCTAGGCAGCTCCACGGGGCTGGGCAGCCTGGACCAGCTGCCTGCTGCCATCAGGAGGAGGGTGAGGTCCTCCTCTCCCCTCCTGCCCACTTGGAATTGGCAGGCTAGAGGTGAGCATGGACACCAAAGGATCCGGCCGTGCCGGCCTCTGCACACAGCCCCCACCTCACCTCTCACGAACACGTAGGTGCTGGCAGCTGTGGTACCCTCGATGTGGGCGTTGATGTACTTGTAGTAGCAGCAGTAGCTGCCTGTGTTGTTGGCGTGGGTCTCGCTCAGCAGCAGAACCTTGCAGTAGGGCCTGGTGTCTGTGCCCTCGCAGTCTTGCACAACCCCCGAGTCCTCGCTCTCCTTCTCCCCCACGACTGGTGCCTCTGGAGCCCCTGGCCAGTCCCACTCCAGGGGGTGCTGTCCCCTGACAGAGAACAGGAGAGGTCAGGAGGCCTCAGGGGACAGTTTCTGAGGAGCCTGTCCCAGGGATAAGAGCTTTGCCCATCCTGTGTCACACTGCAAACAGGGCAGTGCAGGGCACACACCACAGCTCCAGGCCGAGGGGCCGCAGCTCCGCCTGGATCCTTGGCCACTGCATGGTAGCTGGGGTGTAGGTGGACAGGTGAGGGGAGGGTGCCTGTGTCTGGGAACCTCCAGGTGCCCCCTTGGGAGACCCTCGGCCTCTGCCTCGGGAAGGAAGTTCCTCAGCCTGCTGTGGCCTCCTTGGGCTGCACGTGGAGAGCCCCTGTACCTGCAGGAGATGGCCAGGCTGTCGCTGGTGTTGATGATGTGTACCTCCTCTGTGATGTTCAGGGCTGGCGGCGTCAGGGAGTAGCCCCTCACCAGGCCTAGGGCGGGAGACAGGATTAGTGTGCCCTGGGCTGCCCCGAATTCACAGAACAATGTCCATCACTCTTGGGCCTTCTGGAACCCCTCTTCTGGGCAGGAACAGCCTCTCCTTTGGCACATCCTGGCCTCCCTATGTGCACCCCAAGATATCCAGTTAGGTCTACCTCAGCCTGCCCCCTGCTCAGCCTGAGCCCAGCTCTAGTGGCTCTGGACTTGAAAGGGACTGAACTCTGACTTTGAGCCTGAATGGGTAGAGCTGCCAGCAAGAAGGAAGAGGAGACAGCTGGCACTTTCTTCTAGTGGGCGGGGGGGGCAAGCATGTGACCCCCACAGCTCCGCCTGAAGCCCCTCCCTCCCGAACTCCAGATCATCCACGCTTACTTATGAAGTGGCCCTGCAGGTCCCAGGCCCTCCCCAAGCACGCCCAGCCTCAGCCTGCCTGCCCCATCGGCCTGTGTCCCAGGGAGTCTGCCTCATGGTTCCAGCCTCCCTACACCTTGGTCTCCCCTATGGTTCTTCCTCAGGTGCACAGCTGTGCTGCTTTAACTGTTTGTACACCTCCATGATGGCAGACAACTGGGACCAGGCCCCCTGCCCTGCTGCCCACAGCTCTGCACCCTCAGCCTCCTCCCAGCAGATGGTGTGTCCATCTGAGTGTCTTCGATGTGTGTGCGTGTGCATATTTGTGCATCCCACATATTCTTGTGTGCTTGCAGTTGTGTGTGGGGGACCCTGGTGGGGGTGGGTGCAGACCTCGGGGGAGGAATGGGCCTGGAACTCTGGCAGATGCATCCTGCCAGGACCATCCTGAGACAACAGGAAGGGAGGACTGTGTGGCTGGAGGCCCAGAGCTGTGTCCTGTCCCTCCCCCCAAGTCCCTGTCCTGGGGGTAGCACGTTCTCCTGCCCCAAGCCTTTCAGTCCTGCATGGTTCAGAGGGGCAGAAGTTCAAGTCCTTTGCTCTCTAGCCAGCTCCCAAAGCCCTGGGGTCCTGCCTGGCAGCTTGTGGAGTGGAACAGAGCCCGAGGAACCACCATCATATCATGCATGATTCTGTACACCCTGACCCTAAGCTGTCCAATCAAGTGGAACCAGGACAGCACACTCCATACCAGAAGGGCGTTCAGCATTGCACAGATGACACAGCCTACTGGCCTCTCCCTTCCATCCTGCCCCACCCTGTGGACCCTTGCAGGCACCGCCACAGCACAAACCAGAGCTGAAAAACACTTACCAGGCATCTAGTCCCACCATGCAGACAGGGAAACTGAGGCCTGCCCTAAGAAGGTAGCCCCTTGCCTGGCCAGTGCAGGACTGCTATAAAGTCCTCCCTCCTAGGCTCAGAGTGCCTCTTCCTCGCACCTGGGCTAACCTGCCCTGGCCCTGAGGTGGGAGATGGCTCTGGGCTCTGCTGCCTCTTCTCCTGCTAGGGCTCTTATGTGAGTCGCAGGGCCAGGCACTCGGCAGCACTGCGCCATGCTGTGCTGCTGAGGACAGAGCTCACCCCAAAGGCAAGGGCATCTCATGAGATGAGCTTCCCCTCTGGGACAGTTAGGGGCCTGGAAGGCATTCCCAGAACAACACCTTTGAGCTGGGCTCTGAAGGAGAGAAAGAGTTTCCCCAGGCAGTCGAAGTGACCAAGACCATGCCAGGCAGATAGCTAGCAAGGGTGCGGGCGAGCAAGAGGCTGGTGGTCTGTCCTCTGAGCCACGGAAGACGGGGGAGATGATGGGAGTGGGCCTGGCCCGTGGGGGTGCGTGTCCTGTGCCCTCCCTGTGGATGAACCTGCCAGGCCTGGGGCTGGGCATGGCATGAACATGGGAGGGCTGTGGTGGTCAGGCCCACCTGGCCAGCGGAGCATGTGTTGTCACTGTGGACGGAGGCCATGCCGAGGAGAGGCAAGGGCTGTGCCAAGTGCCTCACCTTAGAGGCTCCCCTCCCTGAAATGCTCATCTCTATATGCCCTGGCAGTGGCCGGCTGCACAGGATGGCAGCGGTCAGCTCGTTTCCTTTGGTGGACATCCAGCACTTCCAAGGTAAAGCAGATAAGCAGCCACCTTCTGGCCCCTCCCTTTCTGCCAGCGTCCATTCCTGAGAGGCACAGGAGCTGTCCACTTCCTCTCAAAGTGTCGGGCGTGCTCATTCTTGACGCCTTTGCTTTGCCATCGGTCCTGGGGTCTGGGACACTCCAGCTTCTTTCTCTCCTGAAGACCTCCCTCGAGAAGGTCTAGTCCACATGTCCCGTCCCTGGGGAGCGGTCATCGTCACTGGGCAGTTTCGGCCTTGTCTTCCTTGGGGATCCTGATTGCAATGCTAATCAGTTTTCGTGTTCCTCAGCCCCAAATGGGATGTGTGGTGAAGATTCAGGGATGGATATAAGAAGAAGGAGAGACACTTGATGGAACATCAGGTGCACAAGTGGATAGATGGGTGGTAGGTGGGCGGTGGTGAGGAGAAGAGAGCTTATTGGCCTTTCCTCCCAGTTGGCACTATCCTGGCAAGGGAGCATTCACATCCTTAGGCCAAGCAGGACCATCTGCCCGGTTCCCCTTGGATTTCCAAGGACGCCAGAGCCAGGGGCACTTACTGTCAGCCTCCCCAGCAACCCCTTTGAGACTCTGCTTTCAATGGCACCGCCACTCTCTCCCCGCTAAAACTGTCATCAGCTACTCTCCTGGTCACTTCCCCATTCTCTGCTGACTGTAGCTCCTGGCTTCCTGCCTCCCCCACTCCTGTCCTTCTCCATGACCTCGACATCCCCACGGATGACTCCCCAGTACTCTTGTCTTTGGGATCCTCTTGTCCACTCCCCTCCAGCCACTGGCTTCCAGGGCACACCCTGGATACAGTCATCACCGGAAACTGCACCTCGCCAAGGTGCCTGGCTTCCTGCTTCCCCTCTTCCCCTCCTTCACCCAGTGTGCTGTTCCGCCCCCGCTGAGTCCCCTGCCTCGTCAGAAGCCCCCCAGTGCTTCCTCCCCATCTTTGTGCAGTGGTAACCCGTGCCCATCACTCCCATCATCTCTTACTCACCACTGCAACCTGCAACACCAACATGACCCAAGCGGCTCAGCAGTGCGACCCAGACCCCTCAGTCTGGCCGCTTCCTCTTTATCTTCCTGTGTGCAGGCCTCACCCTGACCCCCAGTAAGGCACTTCACGGTGCTCCCTCCTCCCTCCCTCTCAGCACGAACACAGAGAAACATCAGAAGGAGACGCCTCCTCCTCCCTCATCCAAGGCCTGCTGACCTTCCTGCTCCCCAAGCAAACTCTCCATCCTGCTCAGGCCGCAGCCCTCCTTGACCCAGATCCCACAGATAATTCCTTCCTCTTAAGTACTGCTCTTTCTCCATGGAATCATCTTCAATCTGTAATGCGAAACAATCCCCCAGTCTCATACCCGCTCCGGCCACTGTTCCTTTTCCTCTTTCCCTCTGGAGCCAGAGCTCTGCTCATCATCCCCTCCCCCACACGCACATGTCCAAACGGGGTCCACCCCAACTTCACACAGCTGTTGGCCAAAGCCTTTGGTGACTGTCATGCCATACAAGGTCAAGGAGCAGAGCTATCCCCTCCGCTTGGTGGCTCCTGTGACCCCAGCTCCCCTCACCTTCCTCCTTCTCTGCCCAACATTAATTCCTGTTGCTGCTCTTCCGCTCTCAGGGGTCCAGATTGCTCCACAGTCTCTACCTCCAGACCACTTTTCTCAGTTCAGCCTTCTGTATGCCGCTGCCCGGTGGACTTGGACAGCACACAGACACCCGAGTTGCAAGTTGCTCATGCTGAACTCCCGGTGCAGACTTCTTCCGCCCCTGCCAAGGCTCCTCCCTGGATAGCTCCCACCTCCCTACCCAGGAGCCACAGCGGAAGGCTGCCTCTCCCACCCGCTCCAGCCTCACAAAGCCTAGCAAGGCCCAGGCATCCCAGAACTGGCTCCTGCTCTCCTGCTGGGGGCCTGCCCAGCTACATTTGGGCCCAAGGTAGGCTCCTGGGCCTGCTCCCGCGCTCCGCTATTTCTCCTCCATGCAGTGTGATATTTTTAAAATGCAAAAGGATCGTATCGCACGTATGCTTGCAACCTGTGTGTGACTTTCCACTGTCGCAGGACAGGAAAAGCTAAACTCCCGATGGCCTCTGCCTAGCTCTCCACATTCTAGAGCGTCATCTCCTTGTACCGCATGTTCATTTCGTCCACACTGTCTACAGCATGTATGTTCCTTCTGACCCCAAGACCTTGTCTTCCTGATGTCTTCTCTTCCAGGCGCTGCACAGCGGGCTTCTCATCCCTAGACCTCAGCTTAGATGCATCCTCCCCAACCTTACAAAATTTAAATTCCCTATTTAGGCTCCATCTCAGCTTCATGATCACTTGCTTTATTTTTCTGGCTGTAATTTGTATCTTATTTATTTATGTTTGTCTACATTCTCCATTGGCAGTGTGTAAGCATGAAGATAGTTCTCTTTTCTAGTTGACCTGGTGCCCAGCCAGCACCTGGCACAGAAAAAAAGCTCATCAAATACTTGCTGAATGACTAACTAAAAGGATGGATGGAAGAACGGATGGATGGGCAGAGGGGCAAATGGACGGATGGATGAAAAGACTGGCAAATGGGTGAAAGGACAGTTGGCTGGATAGGTGGATGGCTAAATAGACCCTCGAGGTCCTACTTTGGGTTGGAATTGTCAGACCGGGTTGTTCCTTTGAAACAGAGACTTCCACCTTTAAAGAACAGGCTCCCTGAAGACCATGTGGCCCAGTGCTCAAGAGCTGGGCAGATGGGGACCCGTGGGCTGTGCCTCTGGCTGCTCTGTGACCGCCCAACCCCCACCTGCAGCTCGAAGAAGGTGCATCCTTCCTGCCTGGCTGTTGTCTCTCTGTCCTTCCCTTCCCACAGCAGGAAACTCTGTCATCCTGGCCTCTGCTGTTCTCCCCCTGCCTTCCTGTTCCTGGCCTGGGGACTGGCTTCTTCCTTCCCCTGATCAGCAGGACCCTGGCCTCCAAGCCTGCTGAAGCAAGGGTGGTGAGGCCAGAGTGCACACCTCCTCTTCCCTGCTGTCAGCAGCCCTGGGACGCTCTCTGGCCTTGGGCCCTGGGGACTCTGATATTGGCTGCAGTGGGCTGTGGGAGCCGTACGCCCTGGTTCTGTGTCTTCTCTGAGAAAGCACCAACACCTCATAGGAGGGGTGGGTCCTGCAGCCCAGCTGTCAGTGCCTCATTTGGGCCCCAAAACAGCCCTAGAGGGAAGAAAGGGTAGTGACTCTTACCTACAAATGAGGAAACTGAGGCTTGGGGACTCACAGAAGTGCTGGCTCAGCAGCTGGATGGTGGCCCAGGTCTTGGCCAGGCCACTTCCCCAAGACAGAGGGCAGAGGTGCTCAAACCAGAACTTGGGCGTCCAAACCTAAGGCTCGGGGACTCTCTCTATGCAGAAAAATAAGTGCAGGAAGCCATGTGGGTCTGTGAGCTCCCAGCCTCTCTCCTATGCCCTCTTTCTGGGTCCTGGCCCTCTTTACAGCTTGCAACTGGGGAGAAGTCCTTTAAACCACTGACACTTTTTTTTTCCCCAAAAGCATTTTTCCTGAACAACTGAGGGGAGAGCCAACTGAACTCAGGGAGAACTGTTGAGGAGGTGAGGCTTACTTTCGTCTCACGGATGCCCCTAGGCTCGGTATGTGACCAGATCCTCCCCAGGTAGGCACGGAGGGGTTGCTAAGAAACATTAATCAGGTATATGGTACAGGACAGGCAGATCTGAAACTGAGGCTGGGAGCAGGCATCTCCTTTATGGACACACGGGATGTTCCTGGGTTGGAAGGACAAAGGTCGTGGCTGGGCTGCAGTGCTTTCTGGACAGCTGCCTCCTCACTGGTCACAAAGTCACCAGGAGATGGCCAGGTCCCGGTCCCAGGACAGGGGGCAAGGGGCACTGGCACAGTGAGCTGGGGCTCCTCCTGCCCTCATCCTACTTCTCTCCGACCCCTTCTCTTCACTGGCTTTCACGATCCCTGAAGCCTCTTCCCCAGCCTCCAACCTGCATCTCACGGCTTCCAGACCACTTTGGTGGCTCCTCCTGGCAGGCTAGCCACTGCCTGTCCAGGCTTAGGCCGTGTACTCTGTGCTGTCTAACCCTCCGTGCCTGGCGGTCTGCTACGACCTGCTCTGACCTCTGAAGCTGACCCCCCAGTGCAGGGAGGTCTGTGTCATCCAGGGGCTCTCAGGGCTGTGGTATCATCGGCCCATGGCCCAGTCCCCAGGGCCAGCATGCCCAACTCAAGGATGGTGTTGGGGCCTCCTGGCAGTGTGGGGCCCCTCCACACTTGGCAGGGAGCGCGGTCCTGTCCTGGTCACCTTGGATCTGGCTCTTCTTTGCTCTCTCCCTGGGTGACATGGAAGATGGGGACCCTGTGCTAGTCCTGCTCTTGGGGAGCGAGCCCAGGAGGACAAAGCAGCAAGAGGCCAGGCCAGCTAGATTAGGGG